ACAATGATTCTAACATCAGGAAGGGAGTGTGTGTGGAAACCAACACACTCATTAGAAGAAGGAAAGGAAGAGAGAGAGACGGCTAGAGAGAGACAGAGAGAGCGTGTGGGACAATCAGTTATAAGTTATCAAAGAAAGAAACAAACAAAAATAACAAAATCTACTCAGACATAATTTAGTTAGTTGTTGTTGAAAACAAACAAATAGAATCAAATTTGAGGAGAATGCCAATTTATTTATATAATAAATACTCTGGAAGTTTTCTTTTTTTATCCTATCTGCTGAACATTGGACCATTGAAGACAACAGAAACAACAAAAGGAGAAAGTGACAATTTTATACACATAAATATATATATATATATATTTAACTACTATGAACACGTTCTATACGATGAAATATTGTTTTCCCTAAGTATTGCAGCATATACAATTCTCATAATGACTTGATCAACTTTTCTTTCTTTTCAAGACATTAATTCACGAAAGATATCTCAGCAATACAATATACTGGATGTGTCATTTAAAACACTCAAGGGAAGTATTAAAGGGATTCGAGCTAACTAACTAACTAACAAAAAAACTGGTTCTACAATGAATTAGAAAGTAGGCGACGAAACAGACGGTGTCATTGAATAAAAACATCGATCCTTGTGATTGGACATTGAATGATCTACAACAAAATGCTTGACTAAAGAAAGTCACTATAAAGATATAAATTATTTATATTAATGAAGTATTATATATATATATATATATATATATATATATATATGTATCATCATAGCTAATGAGTACTATTCTTTTCAAAAGAGAAACACCATGTGTAATTGGAATGATCTGAGTAACACACAGTCGACAGGGTTATGCTTCATCAGTACTCTTCAGAACTCTGATTTTAATGTGCGTGTGTGTGTTATGTACAGAATGCTAGTGTATACAACTGTAAAAGGTCAATATTGAAGGTCAGGAAAAAGAAACAAAAAGTAATAAGAGGAGTAGAAGAGTAAGGTAACCGTCCGTTGAAGGCTGTTTGTTTTTTTTTGTCTTGTCAGTCATATCAACCGCGTAAAATGTAGCGCATAGAGAGTTGAATGTAGTCTACAAAACACAAAAAACAAAAGAAAAACGAGAATCGATGTAAACAGAACAGTCTATGATTTTACTTGCATTCTTTTTCCACTCTTTATCTCTCTACATATAAATTGGTCTTGAAGTTCATTTGAGGTAGTTTGAAAATGTATATAAGAAAAGGGAAATTAATGAATTATTTAATATAATCAACAAGTTAAACAATGAAGATTGAATATGCTTAGAAAAGATAAATGCAATTTTACTATGAAAGAGGGAATTATTCAGGGTGATTGATAATGATAGTAATAAAATGACAATAATAGTAGTAGGAAAGAAGGAAGGCATAGACATACAATTTAAACTACTCATAAAATACATCACAGGGATCTTTCTGTCTTTCTTTTTTTCTTTTTACAACAGTTTCTGACGTAATGATTGTTTCATCTTTTTTAGGAATGAGAAAAAATGTATATTTGAAAACTTCACTTCATAATGTTCCCGTGCAAAATGTCATATCACAACCAGAGTAAAAATCTGTTGGCAGGTTTTCTTCAAAATATTCTTTTATCTTCCACAGGTTAGCAATAAAGGGGACCACTACTACTCGCCTTGACTGTGACTGATTTCATTATTCATATCCACCTGAAATGAAAACAAAAGAAGACACTACTGAAATTATATGTAACATGTTTACTGAAGCTTATAATATACAAAATCATTATTTGAATAAAGCAGAATCAAATGGTATCACCATTTATTTCATTGGCTTCTCATCAGCTGCTTACAGCCGAAATAAATAATTATTATTAAGTTTATGTACAGAAAACCCTTAAAATCTAGCGGTTATGATTCCTGGCTCTCACCCAGGCGGCCCGGGTTCGACTCCCGGCGCGGGAGCGCTTTATTTGTGCGTCGGTGGTACAGTGGTTAGGACTCTCGCCGATCATGCACATGGTCCGGGGTTCGAGCCCACACCGACGCACACCTGATATCTATGGTCGGCCTACGAAATTTGGGCTACCGATATCCATGCTGAAAATTCCATACCTGTACCAAAAATACGGTGTGGAATCAAGCTGTAATCAAAAAAATAAAAATAAAAATGATGTCAATTGGCAGCAGATTCTAAAATTAATTAACATTATTCAGGAAACTACACTTGCATAGTTTTGCACAGGCAGTTAAAGTTCAAACAAATAAACGTATGCATACAATAGTAAAGGACTTATATAATAAAGATGAGATGTGTGTAACATGATGATTAAATAATAAATTGGATAAAAGTGTATTAGGTTCAACTCACATCATAGAAACAAGCGACAAGCAAAACCATACTATATCAAAGTTGGGGGTGAGGTTAAGGCAAACACTACGGAATCAAAAGAGAGAGAGAGAATAAACTCATGGAAAATTCTTATTATATGATATAGAAAATCAAAACAAGTGATTCAGCGAAGAGACTCTTTTCAACGAATTTATCATCAAGCTGTACAATCGTATATATGTGATTTTTAAGAAGTTATATCCGGCTAGGGAATTGAATCATAGGTGCGAATGCATAAAATAATAATAGTAGTAGTATGAAATGCAATTAAAAACTAAAATGTTTGTGATTATAATCATTGTTAAATGTCAAGTGGCAAAGCAAATTAATGTCATATATAAAATAATTCATAGGATGGATAGAACTTGAAAAAGGGTGTGTAATTATAGGATTAGTAGACAGATCGAACAAAATAAAACGTTACGTAATATTGTGTGAAATTTGATAGCATAGAATTTAACGTTGTAAAACAAGAATTGATTTAGAATGACAAGTGGAACAAGTGAAATAATACCGGGGACAGTTCAAAGTGAGAGTATTATTAGTAACAATTAACGTAATAAGGAAGAGACTACAAGTTGAACAGATAAAAGGAAAAAATGAAAATTGAAAAATTGGTAGAGCTAAAATATGATTGGGGATTACCATACTTTAGCATAAAGAGATTAAGACGATGAGATTTGGAGGGGTTGAACGAACTTCTTCTGAACACAGAGATCTGGCTTTTCTGTTTCGATAGCCAAAGCTTCAGCAATGCAGATGAGTCGGGTACGTAGGGATTTGGGTAGATTGCTCTTTACCTTGTAGATGACTTTAAAGGCGGAGGCTATAGAGATAGGGTGATCATTATCGACCAGATGTTCTATGATCGCGCTTCTTATTGCTCCACTTCCACCTTTTCGTAGCCATGCAGGATAATGTTCTTGCACCCTCTTGGACAAAACTCGAGTCGAACGACCGATATACCTAGCTCCACAAGAGCAGGTGAATTGATAAACGCACATAGAGTTGGTCAACATTGGGATCTTGTCCTTCAGGTTATTGAACAATAATGGTCGGCTAGTAAAAGCTATCTCAGAGAGGCAGCATGGAATGTTCTTTTCAGGGACTGTGATATCCTTCGTTTCATGATATCGGAAGCTAAGTCCCCTTTGAATTCTAAGCTCATGTAAAGTATTTTCTTGGGAGCGGTTGATAAGTTACGTTTTGTAGGCTTTGAATGTATATTCTTATCTATAAAACGTGGTGGAAATCCATTTTCTATAAGGATTTTCCTCAAAAGGTATAACTCATCTTCCACAGTATCAGGGCTACATATGCGCCGCATGTGAGAGAGAATAGAGACATCCCGTTACCTGGGCAAGGAAAGATTGATAACTGCTTTTTTCTGGACACATAAATTGGATTTCAGGAGCCTGACGGGGATTGCTTCGGCAAAATTGAAGAGAACTAAGCTTTTTTTGCTTATCGATCATGACCCATATGAAGGAGATGTTTGGTAATGGCACTGTTAAAAGCGTTTTTTCTCTTACGACGTAGGCTTTTCATTACATGGACAAAGTTTATGCGACACAGGCATCTAATAACACACTATGCTCTTATTTCACATAAATTTGCTGGTAAGCGCTATGAAATTATTAAGCTATTTATTAAGAACTCTATGAAAAAGCATGAATTTTTACATATCTGAGCTGACCATTTACTTTTATAATGGAATAAGTAATAAACATGAACATTTTATTATGTTGCATCATAGAATAAGAAGGTCGTAGTGGTCGAGTGGTCCAAGACGGCGGGGTCAAGTGGAATCATACGAATCTCAAACACGTTATGTGCGTCAGTGGTTCAATGACAGAATACTTGACAGCCACCCACCTAATCCAGGGTGAAAATCCTGGCTGATATGAACTAAAAAGTAACCCATTTTACCGCCTGGTCAGCAATCCCAGAATAGAAGGAAAGTTCAGTGTAAAACTAGTCATCCAACTCCATGAAAACAACACTATAACTTATGAAACTTCAAGGTTCCAAGTCTAAAGTTCTAGGTTCCGCTCAAAACGAGAAACTAACTTCTTATTAGGCATTTTTAAACACACCGGCATCAGGAGATAATGAAACGTTCATAAAAGTACTGGAAACTCTTACTCTTTAAACGATGAAAAACAAATATCTACAGTCGATAAAATGCATTTTTGTGGGAATAAAAAGACATGTTTAGCTAAAGCGTATGCAGTTTAAAGTAAACCTACTGTTTAATTCCACTCTCATTAAAATAACTTCATAACTGACATCAGTTAGAGAACCATTGAAAACCTGGAAAGCTGTTACATTCTAGTTTGGGGCTCTTCATCAGTACGCAACGACCACAGGGGTTCGAAACCCAGGACTTCCCGGTTACAAGGCGAGTGATCTCGTAGACCATTAGGCCACTAGGACCCAATCCAATCGCCAGTCTATGAATTCCAACTTCTGCCAACTCATCATTTAGTGTGACCACTTCACAATGTCTTGTTCGATGAGTAACTGCCTCACCTCCAACCTACTGCACCCTTCTCGTTATGGCTTGCCACTAGAACCCCAGGTAACTACCTGAATAGGGCCAGTCGCTAGTGAGCATCAGATTAATTTTCAAGCATTCGGTTTTTAGGGATTGTGTTTGATTGGCTGGAAGATTTCATCTAATTGATGTCACCTCCTGATGCAATCCTTTAACCAGTCAAACAAAATCACTACAAAACCAATACTTGAAAACTTCATAACTATTCTGACAGATATTCTCCAATAGATAATCTAGCAAAATATATCTAAATTCACCTAGTTATATCCATATATTATATCACATCATAAAATAGAGCTCATGAATCATTCGGAAGACATACACCATTTTTGTAGCATAATTATAAATGCATATGACTACAGCATCAATATTTAATAAGCCAGACTATTCGTTCTTCTCATATGAATCAAATGATATATCATCATTATGCAGAATTTACAATAATACTATCACTATTTTATTTAAAAATTCGATTAAATTTACTGATAGTAACCTAGATTTCTTCAGTTCATTGAGTGAAATAAACGTTGTAACCAACGGCATGGAAGTGAAATTAAAACTTTCCGATTTGTTTAATAAATAATAACGTCAACCTGTCGGAGGACAGATAGTATAGAAACATAGAAGAAAAATAAAAGATTTATAATTTTTGTATTTGAAGCAGGCTGTAATTTTCGTTTTCCTAAATTATTGAAAACTGACTATCATTAATTTAACTAAGTATGACAGGTACATAAAGCGTAGATTTCAATTTGTTTTGAAAATTCACTCGAGTAATGTTTATGTAGGATAAAAGCAAGCAAGTAAAGCAGAAAACTTAAAATATTCTTATTACTAAAATATCTAAGAATAAGACGCAAACTTTCGACAATCTATGATTGATGGAATGATCTTACTGTATGGTTGAGAGTATTTTTCAATGCAAAGGTACCTTCTCTAGTCAAGACATATAGATTTCGCTACAGCTGCACAAGAGTTTTTTATTTTTTATTACTTTACGTTCCCATTGGAACATAGAGCCTGCTGCTAGAGCTTGGGAGTTTCAGTAGCAGTGAGGCTTTTAGCTCCACACCCAACCTTCCATCTTTACCAGTCCTATTACTGATTTAGCAAGATAAAGGAGTGGGTTGACCGAGGATTGAACTCCGAACCACCTGCGAGGTTGCAGAGCATTCTACCGCTGTGCCACCGATGCAACAAAGACCTACGCTATAGTTCTTTTTATCCTACTGCGTACCTTCAGAAATACGATGATGAAAACAAAACACGTAGATCAGCGAAGAATCTATTTTCGGCGAAATCCTTTTCTTAGCTGTACAATCGCAAATATATATGTTATTTTGTATGTATGTGTACATTAAGTTTGTCAAAAAAATTACAATTGATTATGGTTATTTTAACTGAACAGGTAAAGACTGGTAATACAAGTCAAGAAAATTAAGTGTTAATGAAACTAGGGTAGTAACAAAGGTGATGAGTTGTCACGAACAGTTGTAAAGAAGTGATGTAATAGTAAGTTATGAATAGTTTGATGAGTGAGTTTTACTCAGGATGCACATAGAAACAAAGTAGATAATACGAAATTATGTAAGAAATCTAAGTGAATACAAGCAATTAAAGAACAGGTAAAGAAACAAAATTAAGTGATCAAGATAAAAATAGAAATAAAAAAACTCAAAACAAATCAAAACATTGTTACCATGAGAGTAGAAGTGGTTGAGTAATCTTTTGTATGCACAGCTTCGGTTTTTCTGTGTGAATGGCCAGAGCTTTAGCGATACAAAGAAGACGAAACCGTATTGCCTATTATAGGTTATTCTTGACTCTGAAGATTACTTTGAAGGAGGCTTTTATTGAGATGGAATAATCAGTGTTAACCAGGTGTTTAATTATCACACTCTTTATTGCACCAATACTGCCTTTTTGCAACCATGCTGGATAGTGTTCTTGAATTCTCTTGGACAGGGTGCGCGTCGAACGACCGATGTACCTGGCTCCACAACAGCAGGTAAACTAATATATTAACATAGAAGTGGTCAGATGTGGGATCTTGTCCTTGAGGCTTCTACAGATCAGTGGGCGACTGGAGAACACTATTCTTAGTGTTGCTGCAAAGAATGTTCTTCTCAGAGATGGTGTGATCCTTCTCTTGTGAATATCGCTTGCTGAATCTCCCTTGAAATACAAGTTCATGTAGAGTTTCTTTTTAGGTGCAATTAAAGTTTCGTTTCTCAGAACTATTGGTTTCATGAATCTTATTGGGTATCCGTTTTAGATGATTTCTCTTAGAATATCTAATTCTGTTTCCAGAACTTATGGACTACAGATGCGTCGGACGCGGGTGGCAAGTGACTTAATTAAATTCAGCTTTTGTTGAACCGATACCCAGCTATAGATGCTTGTTAGTTGATCATTCCACGTGAGTTTTCTATGGATTGAACTTCTTTGGCTCTCATCAGTTCTTCTTGTTAGTTCCACATCAAGAAACGGAATTTTCGACTCGTCTTCTATTTCAAGAGTGAATTTTATTGCTGGATCGCAACAGTTAAATGTCTTCAGCAGTAGATTGGGGTCGTTGTTTTTGTCACAAATAATGAAACTCTCGTCCACATATCTTTTATACAGTCACAAAATGTCAATGCTCGGCTTCAGTGAACCTCTCTCGAGATTTGCCACGGAGCAATCTGATAGTAGTGGACCCAAAAAAGATTCCATTGCAATACCATCCTTTTGTCTGATAAAAGGCACAAGAGGATTAAAAGTGTGTGGTAATAAGTCATATTACCTTCAATTCTTCTTTGAATAGTATACATAAGAACTAGTCTTGATAACATAAGATGGTAGGCGAAGAGTTGTGTACAAAATTCGTCCAGATACTTATAGTTCAAAACCATTTGTCTTGGTAATAAGTTTGATTAAACACTAGTGTCAAGCTGATAGGTGGAAAGCTTCTCGATGGCTAAATGTTTAGAATCTTTGCGGTGAAAATAAGAGTAACAGTCACAGTGTGAATAATATTGTAAACTTGCAGAGCTACACTTTTCTTCTATTACCTAATGGTATTACATCATCTGCAATCATCATTTTCATCTTTTTCTATTTCTATAGGAATAAAAATGAATGTGAATATTTTTCAATATTTTTTACATGAAGTACTTTTTAAAATGTTAGACATGAAAGGGATAAAATTTTCACTCTATGTCACGTTTTATTTGTTCTTCTATATTTGTGAAGTAAGCTTTTCATGCACGTTGTTCTGGGTCGTTTGTTTTTTGTCGCTATTGTTATTTGTATCGCTTCTTTTGAAAGCTTTGAGGCAGTTTATTCTTTAGTCACATAGAATATTAATTTTATCCATCTATTTATAGTGGTAATTTTAATTACTAATTACGGATTCTGTTATTTTTTATTCTCAGTTTTAATGCACGAATTGTATTCACTACAGTTAATTTTAGAAAAAAGTATTTAAAATGTGATAAAACATTTATGTACACAGCTGGTGAAAAATAACGCAAAAATAGGATATTTTTCTTCTTTCTTTTACTGTCTGAGTGTGAAATAGAATCTGAAGGTAAAGATTTAACTCCTCGGTAGCACTGATGCTTATTTTTATGGAATTCGGCTGCTAGACTCACATTCAAACTCCTCTCTTTGTCGGGATTACAACCGGCTTTAGCGCGATTTAGGAATGTGTCGGAAGGGGATAGAATCCTGATCCATGTAGGTGGTTGGCGATTGTTCGACCAAAGAACCATCAACGCTAACCAACAACATATAGAATCTTATAATAAATGAGGCACTTAATGTCACAAAGCTGGTACCGAACTACTGGTACTCTTCGTCAGCCTATCCTATTTCTTCATTGTTCGGTGACCGCTGATCACTGTTACCAATGTGTTTTCTCCAAACCATTATTATTATTTCGCCAAACACAGATTGAGAAAACGCGTATTTAATGTCAATTCTTCTCAGGCTTTACAATTAACTAATAAAATCAGTATTCATCAACATAGGATACCAATCCGTATTATCACTTACGCATCTCACAATGAGAATATTTAAATTATTTCATTTATTTATAGTGATTATTACTTTTCATCCCTTAAACCTACATCAACTATACCCTGTTTACAGTATTTCATCACGAGCTGACGTTGGTTAGAGAACCATTGGAAAACCTGGGAGAACTGGACAGCTGTTCCGTCAGCCTAGTTTAGGACTCTGCAGCAAAAGGCACCCACCGGGATTCGAACCCAGGACCTTCTGGTTACAAGGGCAGCGAGCTCGTATACCATTAAGCCACTGGGACCCGATCCAATGGGCACTTCATGAATTCTAACGTCTGCCAATTCATGATATAGCGCAACCACTAGCCAATATCTTCGGCAGGTATTTGTCCTCAACCCCGACCTGCTGCACCCTACTAGTTACAACTTCTCACTAGAACCCCAGGTTACTACCTACTAAAATAGGGCAAGTCTCAAATTAGGGCGCAACAGCTGTCCAGTACTCCCAGCTGGTTTTCCAATGGTTCTCTAACCAATGTCAGCTCATGATGAAATCCTGTAACCAACCAAATCTCTACAACCCAACACTTTAATATACCCTGTTTGTTGGTTCGATTTTTCTAACAGTAATCACACTGTGAATTATACCAAAGACTACAACTCACCTCTTAGAAACTACACTTTCGTCAATTACAAATCCACAAATATGTCCCTCAATAATTTAACCTGATTTTCACTTATGTTCCTTTTGACAACAAATATTATATGTAATCAAACGATAACTAAAGCTAAGTAACTCTTGATATAAAAAGAATAGAACTTGTGCACTGTGATAGAGTATAATTCCATTATGGGTGAAATTTATTTTGATAAAGTCTCACAGTGTTATGCAGTAAATAATATTTACTGATGACTACGTTTTTAGCACAATTTATTGCTCATTATCATAATCATATCCACATTGAAACTAATTAAATCTTATTTTATCGTGTGCTTGCATAACAATATAGTTTCCCGGCTAACTTTAATTCATACTCACTAAAAATTATATTCTGATAATAATAGATTTGTAACAACAGAGCCGGAAGAAAATTTTATTCAAAACAACTGTTCGCTCTAATTATTTCTGTTTTCTGAATAAATCATAAGGATATTCAAATTAGTGAAAGTAATGTAAAGCTTTGCATTAGGTTTGCGATATATATATATATAATAATTTGAGCAGTTTCGCTCTGTGGCCAATGTGCCAAACAAAACGAGCAGCAAAACAGTTGAACCAATGTGTTCGGTTGGTAAACAATTCTGGTGGCTACAAGATCAAATATAATTTTTTACACATTACAGCAATTTGTAAGTTTTAGCTGTAGTATTAAAGGGAGTAAATACATTTGTTTTAATTTTTTGATAAAAGTATTCTCGCTAATTTGAGACTGGGAGTAAGTAGATATTAGTGGACAAATAATGCTAGTTTAACTGTTATATAATCAAATAATCAAAGATGCTCTCACTACAGAGAACTGTATAGTTGAGTAGCAATAATAACACTAACTGCATTAAGCATCAACGTTAAGATATGGATTTTCAGCGATAATATCAAGTCAGTCACTGCTTTTGTATGCGTCAGAGAACTATCATCTAGCCGGTAGCACTTCCAAAAAGCTTCGGACCTTCCCTGACAGCTACCTTCACTGGCCAGAAAGCATAAACAACAGAGAAATGTATGAAAGAACCCAGTGCCCAATATAAATGACGAAAAAATGGGAATGAACTGGGCACAAGCCGAGAAGACCACTGGAAGCCATCGCGCCAGGTACTCGAGTGAAACGCAAATTAGAAAAAAGAGCTAGGCTGAGGTTTGTGGGTGACACGAAAGAAACGGTATAGAGATGAAATTCAAGTTTCTAGTCAATAGTAAGGCCAGATAAGGAGGACTGCAGAAAACAGAATTGAACACTATCAATAATGTAAGTGCAGAACCAGGGTATTGTGTTGGAATGTAATTCCAAATTAGGTAGGTTTACTTTTAAATGTCACACAACGATGGATGACAAGGTTTCGAGCATAAATGTTGGCTCATAATCATAAAGAACGCAACACAAATGTGCTACTGAATCCCTGTATTCTACTGTGAACACAAAGGAATGCTAATAAACTAATCATGGTGAACTGGTAATATAATGATAACATTGTGCATATAAATCATGCAGTTAGTTCAAATAATAATAATAATTCTCTTAACAACAACGATGAGAAATAAAGAGATTTCTTAGGGTAATAATGTTAAAGCAAAGCATGCTTATATAAACTAATATTGAAAGTTTTTTGATTTACAGCTAGATTCCACACCGTATTTTTGGTACAAGTATGGAATTTTCAGCATGGATATCGGTAGCCCAAATTTCGCAAGGGATCGGACCTCGGACCATGTACATGGTCGGCGAGAGTCCTAACCACTGTGACACCGACGCACAATATGTATTAGAACAGATAGTTAAACTACAAACTATTGCACATATGCGAAAAGTTCTACGTTGAAACCAGTCAGTCAGTCAGTCACGACTATATAACGCCACATTGCAAGAGAATTAAATAAACTTAGTTTTACAATGATAGAGAAGACCAGCTCAGGGAACACAACTAACTGCAAACTTAGTTTTAATGAAGACGTAATCAGACTAAATAAGGGTAGACAAAAGATGGCAAGAAGGGGATTAAAAATATCATATATATATATATATATTTATATAAGAATAGTTTGTATTTAATATTTATTTGCAAAATTACCTATGTTTCTACCTTTAATATTGTGAAATAATTCTGTGAGATATATTGCACTGAATTCAGTAACAGACTTACTACAATCTGTAGCATAATAATATTTGCGCGAATAGAGAGAAGCTGGAATTTACGGACTATTCAGTTCAGGCCTAAGGGGACTGAATCACCAAAATGCTTGGTCTTGCAACCTGAAGATGCCACCTCCTACCCGTAGTGAAATTGTGTTTACGTGCCATTGAAGACTCTCAATTTGACACAAAAAAGTTGTCTAATGTTCCCTGGTTTTCAGTGTTTCTCTAAATGGTATCAATCTATGGTCAAACGTGAAACAAATTAACTCTTGAAAACTTGTTCAAAATATTGACTCGCCTCAAACCTGATAAATTCACTTGGTTTTTCTACTTCACAGCAGTTATATTTTATACGACAGTGGCACAGTGGTTAGGACTCTCGCCGACCATGCACATGGTCTAAGGTTCGATCCTCTGCCGACGCACATCTGATATCTATGGTCGGCATGCAAAATCTGGGCTACCGATATCCATTCTGAAAATTCCATACTTGTACCAAAAATACAGTTTGGAATCAAGCTGTAATCAAAAATAAAAACAAAATAAAATAAAGAAAAGTCTTATGGTATTTTTGATCACCCTTACACATACACATACACCTGAACTAGCTTTCATTTATTCGTACATTATACAGATGCAGGAAACAGAATTTATGTGATGGAAAGTTTTACACTCTCCTGGTATTCTGTTCGCCTAGAAACAAATAATAAACTAAATAATCAGACATCAATCTACAACCGGTTAGGTGTATTATTTTTTTTGCACTCTACAACAAATTGCAATGGAACACCTTCTCTACTTTAATTTTTTCTAAAGCATAGTGTTTTGGCTAATAAATTCATGATTTCCGTTAGCTGACAAAAAAATAAAATTTAATA